TTTAGTGACACCAGTGACTGAAAGAGGACCCACATATGCCCTTACGGGTAGACTCGACAGTTTCTGACACGATACTATACGAAAATGATACAAAAATAATAGATTTTCGATCAACACGATAATTAATTGGGTCATTATCGGCTGACCCGTTAAGAATCTAGTATACACGCTGGTAACACGTAGATAACCCGTTTCAATCTGTTAAGAAAAAAATTATTTTGATAATTTTAAAGTTTAATTACTAAAATATTTATTATAAAATACAATAACCATATTATATATACAATATATTCTATATTAAATATATAATTTGTATTATTATTCTATATAAGTTTAAAAAAAAAATTTTGTCATTATTTATTTTTATTATGAGAGTTCTTTATTATCATTACTACGATAAATTTTACTTAATATGTTGTTGTCCAAAATTAAAATAAACTAGTATAGGCAAGAACTACGAAGACTATAAACACTCATGATTCATCATTATTTCTCTACAAGTAGATAATGGTTACACTTGTATTATCGTTTAGATTTTTAAAATCTTCTAAACCCTCATGAATAATGTTTTTTTATTTGAGAGAAAAATTAATAAAATTAATAATAATTATTGTAGAAGTGTAAAAAATGTAAAAAAAATATACAATCACTTATAGTGACAAGCTTTACAACTTTCATGAAGGGTCAGCTTCGAAATCTAACATTGTAATCCATAATCCATAAACCTTAAATTTATATTTAACCATCGATTGTTATTTACACTTTATTCTTCTTACTGAATTTCATTTCTAAAATTTCCTTTTTGGAAAACATGATCATCTGGCGAATGTAAGAAGATGAACGGTTCAGATTTTTGATATCACGTTTCGATATTTATGGTTAACTGAAATATGAGTTGATGTCATATAGTTTGTAGAAACTTTATAAACATCAAGCAATATTTTCACTAACCGTAAAACTTTGAATATAATATCAACGATCCAAACCGTTCATCTTCCTGCATCCTCTAATAGATCATGCTTTCAAAAAAGAAAATCTGAAAAAACAAAATTTGATGAGAACAATGAAGCATAAATGTAAACAACACAATCAACGGTTAAATTTTGATGAGATCATGCATCCAAACCGTTCATCTTCTTTAACGGGTAACGGGTCGGATCATATTATCTGTTAATATTATTGGATCGATTTTGGGTCGGATGATTTTACCTATTTATTTTAACGATCTGGGTATGGGTTTGGAGCGGATTTTAAGGGCCCAGCTTTATATTGACGTCAAAAAAGAGGGAAAAGGGCCCAACCGGGTTCGAACCGGTGACCTCTTGATCTGCAGTCAAATGCTCTACCACTGAGCTATGGACCCATTGTTGTTTATTTGCTCACAGTTTAAATATATCTATAAACAGTGAATATTTGAAATTAGAAAATGGATTGTGCTTTTGTAGCTCTCATCCAAAGACACGTTGGAAGTCATCATTGTCCACATGGTCATAAGATTTGGACGACGACATACTTTATTCTTTTTTAATTGTTTTGGTTTCAATTCAACTAATAAACTCGGAAACAATTTGACAACACAAAAAAATGTAGTCTTATTAAAGAAAATAATTAAATAATTGCTTGTATAGTGGTATTCTTATTCACTTATACAATGAGTTTAACTCATAAGACATATTACAACAGTGATTGAAAGCGATTGTGCTTATCTGCCTTGGTGCACCCTTGATTTTCATCGCTTCTCTTCTGCCTAACTACTAATTTTTTTGTGAAAAATATACTAGCATATGTTACACACTTTGATTGTGGAAATATTTTTATTTTTGTTTTAAAATGGGAAGGAGAAAGGGAGAAAAAATGAACATGAAATTGGAGAGAGAAGTTGTAACATCCCACATCACCCAGGGGAGTGGATCCTGTAAGCCTTATATGTATATTCTCATCTCTACCTAGCACGAGGCCTTTTGGGAGCTCACTGGCTTCAGGTTCCATCTTAACTTCAAAGTTAAGCGAGTTCGCACAAGAGCAATCCCATGATGGGTGACCCACTGAGAAGTTCTCGTGTGAGTTTCCAGAAACAAAACCGTGAAGGCGTGGTCGGGATCCAAAGCTAGAGTGCCATAAATTAGAAGACTCAACAATATAGGCAGAAACATTATTTATTTCATTCATAGCATTAACAAGTACATTTAGTTTGAATAATCCATCAGCAAGGTAACCCTTCCCTACAAACATTCCCCCTTTAGTTAGTACAAACTTATTAGACTCAAAAACTAGTTTGAATCCTTTATTACTAAGGATAGGACCAGAAACAAGATTCTTCCTTATATCGGGGACATGCAGCACGTCAAGGAGGGTTAATTCCTTTCCAGAAGTGAATTTTAGAACACATTTCTCTATTCCAGCCACAACAGATGCAGATGCATTTCCCATAAACAGCTGCTCGTTTCCTTCGGTTTTCTGGTACGAAAAGAACATATTTGTGTCACCACACACATGGCGAGTTGCACCGGTATCTATCCACCAATCAGTGTGATCAAACACAAGGTTGATTTCAGAAATCATTGCAGTTAAGGCATCCACATTGTTTTCAATCAGGTTTGCGCGGTTGTTGTTGCCTTGATTTCCAGGACCTTGATCCCTTCGATGGCGACATTCTTGAGCCCTATGGCCTTGCTTTCCACAAACCCAGCAACTTCCCTTGATTTTCTTGAAGTCTTTGCCTTTCGCACCAGGGACAAAGTGTTTTTCCTTCTTCTTAGTTTTCTGGAACTTCGACCTTTGCTTTGATGAACTTCCTTCAATAACATTTGCCTTGGCTTCCATACTCGAAACCAGGCCCTTCTCATTCTTTCTGTTATCTTCCTCTATTCTCAGCCTGACAATGAGATCCTTAAGTGTCATCTCCTTACGTTTGTGCTTGAGATAATTCTTGAACTCTTTCCAAGAAGGTGGCAGTTTTTCTATAAAGGACACCACTTGGAAAGACTCAATGATTATCATCCCTTCAACATGAATGTCATGGATGATTTTCTGGAGATCTTCAGTTTGAGAAACAACGGACTTGGAATCCACCATTTTGTAGTCCAAATATTTTCCCACGACAAATTTCTTCGAACCAGCATCCTTGGTTTTATATTTTTTCTCAAGTGATTCCCAAAGTTCCTTGGCTGTTTTGCATACTACATAGACATCATACAATGAATCATCTAATGCATTGAGAATATAGTTTCTGCAGAGGAAATCATTATGATTCCAGGCATCTATAGCCGTTAAAGTTTATACAGAAAAAATATTTTCTCCATCTGCAGTAGGTACATTCTCGCGTAGAACATTAGCCAAATTCATGGTTGTCAAATAGAACAACATTTTCTGCTGCCATCTTTTGAAGTCTCTGCTCTTAAATTTCTCAGGCTTCTCAGAATGAGGTTTAGTTCCCGATTGTTCCATACTATTCGAAGATTGTTGGAGAACAATTCAGAAATAAACAAAAATAACAGAAATAAACAGAACTTGAAATTCTAATATTTTATTTACCAGATATACTTGATGTGCAAAATGAAATTATACAATAAATACATAAACTAATATAAAATATCAATGATACTAACTTGATCACATAAGGTAGAGGCTAGCGTAAAAGCTATGTCCTTCGAACAGTATTTTCGTCCCACTCTTGTGCTTGTGGTTCTACAACGTTTGCTCGACCAGGATACAACTACCTAATTCTACAACCCGCACTGGATTATAGAACTCTAGCGAATTGCTTTGTGTGTTTACTCTCTGGAAATTTTGTACGAAAGATAAGGAGGAAGAAAAGATGATGATCACTTGGATACTGTGATTGCAGATATATAGGCTGTTTCACACCATTTCAAATACCTATTCAGTGTATTTGAAAGTACACAACTCTTTCTAATAGCTGTGTCTTTTAATCAAAACGTTTTTTAATTAATAAATTAATTAAAAAAACTTAATCCGAAAATTAAAATTAATGAATCTGATTAATTTTAAATTCCAAGGCCCCAAGTGCCCCAAGGCCCAAGGGTTTAGGGTTTAGGCCCTTGTCTTGATTAATTAATATTAATTGTAATTAGGCTATATTATATTCAAGCCTAATCCACACAACCATAAGGCCCAAGCCTTCAATCCATTTCCAAATGGTCCAAGTTCTAATTACTAAGAAGAGGGAATAAGTCTATATAAAGGCTTGTGAAAAAATACTATTGACCAATGTGAGACAAGAGGGTCTCAAACTCCAACATGATCTTCATGTTGTACAAATATATACTTGAGAAAATGTAGACGTGTAAATATTTTATCCTTTTTGTCTTACATAATTTTAATCATACTACGAGCATTGCTCGACAAAACTCAAAAAGGCTCAAGCATTGCTTGGGGGTCTTCTTGAGGAGTCAAGCATTGCTCAAGGGGCATCTAAAATAGTATAGCATTGCTCAAGAGGGAGTCTCTACAGAGAAAATGATTAATCCCCAACCTTCCCTTTAACATACACAAAGAAACTCTATGTACATTCGATAAGTTGTCATCACACCCATGACAAGTTGCGGTAGAGCACAATCTAGTATCGAAATCACTTCAAATACATATCATTCACATCCTACAAATTGAATTTGAAACCTTTTAACTTATATCTTAATTGATTAAGAACATTTATCTTTGTATCAAAAATTGTAGATTCGATTTCTCCTCCCCTATTATTTATATGATAATAAATAAACAAACACGAGACGTTTTTTCATTATATTAAAATTGAGTGTCGCTGAACAAAATCGAATAGTAGTTAACGAGAGAGAACTCCAACTGTCACAAGAAAATACAGTCGGACACTTGGTGGGCAAAAAGTCCCATCGGAGATTACGAGGCAACACGTAAAAATTATGAAAGCTGCAAAAACCAAAGCAAGTCAATTGAAGAACACCGACTAGAAGTAGTAATAGTTGGTTAAGTTGTTGGTTGGCTTCCCCACTTCTTCATATCCGGCGGTTATTTCCAAGCCTCCTCCCTTTGTTTCCTCCGCCCCTTCTTCTCCTCTTATACTTTCTCTCCCTCAATCCCCCATTCCATCTCCCCCCCTTCCTTTCTCTTTCTCTCTCTCCTCACCTCAAATTTTCTCACTTGCCGAACAGACGGAGGCAGTGGAAACAGGGAGCAGCCATGTCCTTCTCCTCCGCCACCAATTTGGCCCAGCCCCTCCAGCTCAACAATGCCGCCGCCACTCCCAGATCCAATGACATGCCCTCCCTCCTGCTCCCCCCCAAGGCATCCTCTTTTCTCGGATCTACCCGCAAGTTCCGACCCACTTCCCTCTCTCATTCCAGTGCTCACCGCCGATCCGCCGTCGTTGCCGTCTCCGAAGCTGTTAAGAAGAAGAAGGTCCAGGCTTCCTCCAATCTGGTAATGCTTTTGTTCTGGATTTCATTGCTTGATTGGGTTTTCTGGGTTTGCTTTGTTTTTTTTCATGCATGGTAATCCAATTGAAGGATTAGAGAATTGGATTTTCAATTATATCGATCTTGGATTTTTTAGTGCTGGGTAGCTGAGCTTTACGATCAAATTTACTCAAATCAATCGTAATTTAAGTTGTTTGATCCAAAAATTGAAAACCCAGAACAGATCAATCCGAAGCTTATCGCTTTCAGTTTTGTTTCTGGATGGATTGAATCCAATTTGATTTGTCTAGTATGTTTCAAGTTCATGCAACTTCATCGTATCGATGCAATTAAGTTTATAGAGATGTAGAAGAACACATCTGAGCTTTGTTTTTCGAAAATTTTCATTTTCTTACGAGATGATTCCCGTCTAAGACTATATGGTTTTTGAATTTTTGTGCATTTAGCTAATAACAAAAGAGGAGGGATTGGAGCTGTATGAAGACATGGTATTGGGTCGCTCTTTCGAGGACATGTGTGCTCAGATGTATTACAGAGGCAAAATGTTCGGGTTCGTTCACCTTTACAATGGCCAAGAAGCCGTGTCAACTGGGTTTATCAAGCTTACAAAGAAGGAGGATTCTGTAGTGAGCACATACCGTGATCACGTGCACTCGTTGAGTAAGGGTGTCCCTGCTCGCGAGGTGATGAGTGAGCTCTTTGGAAAGGCTACTGGTTGTTGCCGAGGCCAAGGTGGTTCTATGCACATGTTTTCGAAAGAGTACAATGTGCTCGGTGGGTTCGCATTTATTGGTGAAGGTATACCAGTGGCAACAGGTGCAGCATTCTCTTCTAAGTACAGGAGGGAAGTGATGAAACAGGCAGACTGTGATCACGTGACTTTGGCATTTTTTGGAGATGGAACTGCTAATAACGGCCAGTTCTTCGAATGTTTGAACATGGCAGCATTGTGGAAATTGCCGATTATTTTCGTTGTGGAGAACAATTTGTGGGCCATTGGAATGTCGCATTTGAGGGCTACTTCTGATCCCGAAATTTGGAAGAAGGGGCCTGCGTTTGGTATGCCAGGTGTTCATGTGGATGGTATGGATGTGTTGAAGGTGAGGGAGGTGGCAAAGGAGGCGATTGGAAGGGCCAGGAGAGGAGAAGGGCCAACTTTGGTTGAATGTGAAACATACAGGTTCAGAGGACACTCATTGGCAGATCCCGATGAGCTTCGTGACCCTGGTGAGTGTTTGAATTATGTCCTTCCTCTTTTAGATGCGTACTTGTATTCAACATGTTGGTTTGGTCTACACATTTTAGGAGCTAAAATATGTCCATGCTTAATTCACCTACTCCTTTTGGTTCCATTGCTCCCATTATATTATTGGGATTTAACTTTGATTATAAAATCCTGATTCGTATATGTTTTGTTCGATCATGGACTTGAACCGCTATATGCACTAGGAAGTGGATGGTTTCTCCTGCGATTAGTATTTTGCCTTTTCATGTCTAATATCCTGATATAGTTTACTTGTTGGATTATGGACTTACACCACTAGTATGAACTAGATGGTTCTGTGTCTGTCATTGTTGAGGCATATATGGAGTTTCGTATTTCTTAGCATATCTAACGAGCTTATAAAATTAGTTATTGACGGAGTTTATAGCTGTGTATTAACCGCTATGTTATGTTCCATTTGGCAGCTGAGAAGGCACACTACGCTGCCAGAGACCCCATCACTGCCCTCAAGAAATACATACTTGAGAACAATTTGGCGACTGAACAAGACTTGAAGGCCATCCATAAGAAGATCGATGAGTTGGTTGAGGATGCCGTTGAGTTTGCAGATGAGAGCCCCCTTCCACCTCGTAGCCAGCTGCTTGAGAATGTGTTTGCCGATCCCAAGGGTTTTGGAATCGGGCCTGATGGCAGTTACAGATGCGAGGATCCTAAATTCACTCAGGGCACTGCTCATGTCTAATCTCCGCCGGTAGGAGCCTCAAGCAATCGACTTATACAATCAACTATTACGAAGATTGTATCAGCTTTATGTCCTGCTAAATCTTTTCAATTTTGGTTATCTTTTTAAAATTTCATTGTTTTTGGATTGGCAAGCAAAACCCTCTAGTGATGTTGGTTCGCCGTTTCCAACTTTATTACATCTACACATTTACAAAATTTTGCATTCGTTGGATCCGACTTGTTTCGTGTCTTAACTCGACCCATTCCGCGTTTTAACGAGTTAACTGGAGTTAACTGGAGCTCATGCATTGTTTACACTCCCAAAATACAGAGAGCCTAGAATACTAGAAATAGAAACACATGTACTCGACGTTCCTTTTTTCTTATTTTTTATGGTACAAAGAGGGCAAGGCCCAGCTAGCAAAACAAAAAAGCCAGGCAACAACAGCCTTAGGAAGGGCCGGATCTTTTTCCAGGGGATTCGGATGATCCCGTAATCGTGTCTGTTCATCGTACATCGTGCGATCAGAAATTATTTTAAATTTTAAAATTTAAATTAAATATAAATAGTACCTAACGAAAACTGATTGCACGATGTACGATGAACGAACACGATTACAAGATCCCCTGGTTCCCTAGGAAAAGGATTCGGCGATGATCATTTTCCCTTAGGAAGGGCCATGACAGTGGTAGGAGGAGAAGCAAAAACATGATGACCAAGAGATAACCTATGATCCAAGTTAGCCATGTGATCACTTGAGACATTATTTTCTCTATAGATATAGTGACTTCGCATCTCCAATTTCCCTTGATATCTTTTTTGCAGTCAATAATGAGATTGTAGAGCGGGTGCGAAACCAAAATAGGTTGTTGGATCAAAATAACAACGGTACAAGAATCACATCCCTACAACCCTCATCCCAAGCAATAGAAAGACCCATGAAAACACTCCAAAGCTCAGCTTCCATGATGGTTCCTCTGCCCAAATTGTTTTCAGCCTACATATTATGGCGGATTGGACAACAACGGTCCTCTTCTAGCTCTCTACACGTTAGTGAGGACTTTCCATGACCAATAGTCCAGAGGAAAGTCACCAATTTGGGTGGGAGCTTAAGATTCCAAATGAAATTCCATTTCCAGGGAATGATATCATCATCGCCAAAGAGAGACAGATACGCAGTCTTCACGGAAAAGGTTCCAGATTTGGTGAGGCTCCAAATTAACTTATCTTCCCTATTATTTGCAATACCAACATGTAAACCGAAAATTTGTTCCACGATATTTGGAGGAAGGCAAGAGTACAACAAATCCATATTCCAACCAGAATCAATAAGGAAGGCTTCAACAATCCATTCAAGCATGTCATCTGAAAAGGGGATGGTAGCAAACTCTTCAAGCACACCACACTCAAGCCATTTGTCTTTCCAAAGATTAATATGGCTTCCAGATCCGACTCTCCATCACTATAGAAACTGGGAGGCGAGTAGATTGCATTGAGTAGATCGAAATGGCTGAGGCGACTGAATGGAGATAAACAAGCCTACCTGCCATAGGGAAGAGAGATTTTTCAGTGTGATGAGAACATGGAGTGGTACAACACGTGTCACTATACAAATGGTGTGATATGTGTGTTAAAAAATTATTAACTTAAAAAAATAAAATGTCCCACCACTTGTATAAAAACACGTAACATACCACCTGTGTTCCGGTCACAATGAAAAAATCCTCCATAGAGAGGGTACTGCGCTTCCAACCAGAAAGCCAACGTTGAACTTTCTCAACAATGTTGCCAAACGTCTCTTTGTTGACTCCAGAATGCAAAAATGGGATACCCAAGTTAACGGAGTTGTTTTCTTAATCAACAAGTATCGTTCATTCAAGAACCCTTTTTAAGACAAATGCCAGAGAAGCAAAAATCAGGAACTCCGACTGATGTCGAAGAAGCGAAGATGCGTACTCATTATTTATTTTATTTTTATATACATAGCAATTCTAGTACGGAAAAATCTATAAATTCATAATCCAAGTATTCTTCTACACTGTATGAGTTTGAAGGGTAAATTAGTACAAAAACTGGTAATAATATGAACGAAGAATAATATTTATGAAGAAGAAAACAAAAGAATGTGAATGTGAAGGGTAAGTGTCGAGTCGGATGGGGATTACAACTTCAGAGCGGAAATTGCTTCCGGTTTAAAATCAACTCTCAGACCCAGGACTCGCCTGACCTCGGCTGGGGTCAGTCTCCAGGTCATAGGTCCCGAGTTCTCGCCCCAGAAATCAAGAATCTCCGAGACCTTTTCCAAGTTCAGGATTGTCGCCATTTGTGTGAGACGCGCAAATTTGTCTCTGACGGTCCTTTGAGTCATACTAGAGAAGTGGCTTACCAATGCCCTGGCATCTCTGTCGAGCTGAAGGCCTCCAAGTTGGCTGAATCTCTTCTGCATCATAATCACTTCAAGCCTCTTCACAATGAAGTCGATGACAAAATGCACAAATGAGTCGTAGTTGTTGGCAGTCATTAGCGGCTGGAGCCATGCTACATTCGTCTCAACAGCATGAAGAAGTCTTTGAACCCATGGGTCGTTAACCTCATTATCTGCGTATTCAGCCTCTGATAGCTCATAGCTGATCGTTGCCACATTATCTAGCACTGGACGGATACGGGGTGTCACAGTAGCCACAAGTTGTTCCAAGCCAGCATTCAACGCTTGCTTGAATGTGCTGCTCATATCCCCTAGCTCGGACAGGCAAGACTTCACTTTTTCTCTATCAACTGGTGCAGGAAACACCTGATAAACATGATACGTTCCGTTTAATCCACAATATTGGAGTTACTTTGATACAGAAGGAAATAATATGTAGCGCAAACATTTAAATCCAACCAAACGAATGATCACATCAGATGATAACATCAAACATGAACTTAAGCGAGAAGGATATAAAAGAAGCCAAAAGACTACTCGCACGATTTTGTGAGTGTGTGACAAATATCAAAACAATCTACATTTCAATACTTAGAGTTCCAGTACAGGCAAGAAGGTGGGCGAAAGCAATTAGCAAATGAAGCATTTGAGAAAGGCCAAATTGTCTTACTGAGTTACAATGCTCTCTTGACTCTTCATTTCTATGGACAAAATTTCAGTAAAAAACATGGAAAAAATTAACCATAAAACTGAAACATCCAAAGGCTTAAGGAGGTAAAGGCAACAGCTACATGAACAAACCGTACGCCATATATAAAACAACAGCACACAAGCCCGTATTCTTTTGTCCTTGTTGACTGACTGTCCTTATCGACTTACAAGACAACAAATAAGAAATCTTAACAATGAAGACTCCGTGTAACCAAGTCTACGATAGCAGCAGTGATCAATCATGCACAATCACTGGGCAAACACACATCACTCTTTCACAATTAACACTGTACCATCAAACTCCATTTCCCATTTGTATTAGCAGGAAATTCTGTGAAGTGCTCGAGCATGTAGCATTCTATTATGTTCGCAAACATTATCAAGGCCATTGGAAACTCCAACTACAGGAAATTGGATACATCAAATGCAGGTTTGACTAAACCTAAGTATGCATAATTATAGTGATTTGGGGCTTCTAACTTAATACAAAGCGAAATGCAAGCCAAAGACTTGCCCAAACAATGTAGTTATTATTCATGTCACAAATCCTGATAATTAAAGCACAGAGTAAAGCAAATCATTTCAATTACCTCTAAGCATTGCTCCTCAATCTCGTGCTTTAGTTTGAGGACGTACTCGCTACTGACATCGATATTATTCAAAACCGTGGCAATCTCCGTCCCAGTTTTTTGCACCCCAACACCACCTAGGAACAGCTTTGCGCCAAGATTTGGCTCTCTCATCCTCTCTTGCAAAGCCTCGTGATACTCATTGCTCAACAAGCTACTTGCACCACTCAACACAGCAATCACTGAGCTGATATTCAAAGTGGATATTGCCCTCCGCAAGCAACTCTGCAAAACATAGAACACGTCGTCCACCATTGAAGTCGTGAGACTGTCAGGCACATGCTCATCGATCCTTATAGCCTTCCTCACATTCTCCACCATAAAGAAACCTTCTAATATGACATAAAACCCGGTAATGTCCTGAACCACCTTGCTAAAACTTCCACTCCTAAAAGCCTTAGTGGCTCGTGGACCTAAATCCGGGTCAACATTCGTCAAGCCCTTGATCTTAGACACCATGAACTCAGTGTAATCCTCACCCAACTGCATCAAAGACAATATCTCCTCCAAGAACAGTTCAACCTCTCTCGGGTCGGGTCCCTCGGACCCAACACCAACGCCACCCACATTGAGCAAATTCTTGTTCTGGGCATTGATCTCGGAGCTCAACTTAGGCAATTTCCTATAGTCCATGTACTTCTTCAAGATCAAACTACCCCTCGTATCGCACTCCTCTTGAAGCTCACAAATGGCGTAAACAACTCCGTCTTCACCACAAAGCCCTCTCAGAATTTCATCGTTCTCTTCCACCGCTAAAACTATGTCCTTGAACAAATTGGTCAAACACCCAACAAAATTGACCGCCTGGGTCGGATTGTTCTGCTCCATTAGCTCCACCAAGTGCTCGAATTCGAGCCGGGATCGCATCCCAATCACCTTCCGCAAGTACCCAACGTAAACCTGCAAACCCTCCGTTTCTAACCCTAACGGAGCGTAGAGCCTGACGAATCTCAATACATTGGAATGCTCCCTCTGGTCCACCGCCGCCGAGAGCTTCTTCCTGACGATGGATTCGAGCTGCCGCTTCGACTCCATGAGCTGCTCCCGCTGGTCGGCGCCGGAATCCCGGTACTCGGAGTCGATCTGGAGGAAGCGCTGGACGTAATTGGCGGCTGCCTCGTAGTCCTGGGCGTCGAGGGCCTGCTTGACGCCATCGATACAGTTGCCGCGCTCGACGATGGCGTCGAGGCGGAGGAGCGTGGACTTGACGCGGGACTGGGCAAGATCGAGCTCGCGGACCTTGGCACTGACGTTGTCGGCGAGGTCACAGGTGGAGGTGACGTTAGAGAGGACATGGTCGGAGTCGGTTTTTACGATGTCGAGAACCTGGGAGGACTTGCGGAGGGCGAGGAGCTGCTTGTCGAGGTCGGAGCGCTGGGAGAGGAGGTTGTCGAGGTCCAGATCTAGGGATCGCTGGTAGGCGATGCACTCGTGGAGGAGGCGCGTCATGGCGCCGACGTCCGTCAGGGCTCGCACGTGCGAGAGGGCCTCTTGGGTCCCGAACTTTATGGACGGTTGATCCGACTCCATTTCCTTGATCCGGTGTCTCTGGGCGACGACGTTTTGGTTGTGATCTGCGTGCTCGGGTCTCAGATGGGTCGGTTGGACTGTTGGAGAAGAAGGGAAGAGGAAGCAATAAAATGCCGAGAGGAAAAACATTAACTTTTTGTATTTAAACAACGCATCTCAGTTTACACAATTTCTATTTACACCCCCATAAAAATTTAAATTTAAACTTTGTATTAAGTTGACCAAATTTATTCTAAAAACATCCTTAATTTTGGCATGATGCATATGAATTAAGGTTTTAAAAGATGTTAACTGCTAGTCGGCGGTGGGTTAGAGCCTAGGCTAGCACTTAGAGGGGGTAGATGGACTCGACGGATTTAAGTAAATATATTATATATCGTACAAATAAATATCTAATTGTACTTAATAAATACATGATTTCATAAGAATACATAAATTAGAAAATAAAATGACATAGAGATTATAAAATATTAGAACATAATGAAAATATGAGGAACACGCATATCATTGTGTTCTTCAATATTCAACAGGTCTCTTAAAATTATTTAAAAAAAAACAAAATGCAAAACGAAACTTTTATATTTTCTGTTTAAGTGAGAGTCGTTATCTATACGGGTTTGGACGGGCTAGGTGGGCCCCTAGGTGTTCTACGAGCTATTTCTTAATTTTCAAACATATAAGGATTAATTAGGACAATAGCCAGCCACTTAGCTTATAGGCGGGGCTAGACGGAGATTTTTAGAACAGTGTTATGAATACTACATCATGTAAGAGCATGTTAAAAGATAACTGTGAAATGTTAATTTGATGGCTGATGTGGCAATATCAGATTTTATCTTTTTCCAACTGATATGTTTTTTTGTTATAAATAATATTTGTATAACCCATGTTAAAAAGAAATCAATGGAAATAAATTTTCAAGATTTATAATTGGTGCATTAGTGGGATCTATACAATAAAATAATTAAAAATTATTTGACATCACTTTTTCTCATATATCAAATTTGAAATATGAAAACTCATATTATGTCAATCCATATAGGATTGATATATCGTTTGGAGCTTACTCGTACCTTTAAATTTGATTACATAATATTTTACTTAGGATTTGACATCTCCTTTGAAGATAGTCTAACATGCACAAAGCGACAATGTCCTGCTTCTCCGAAACCTAGTTTGGGCTTTAAATAAATCTGGGCCGGGTAATCTAACGGATTGTGCAACTTTTGGATGCCCGGACTCGGAGAGCCGTGATCTCATTATCTTATCCACAGCACCAATGCCACAAATATGGAGCCGGAAAAAATAAATAAATAAATAAAAAAATTCCAAGTTGTGGAGCTGCTGATCAGCTTGGCTATGGCGGCCACTTGCTTAAACCTAACACCCACTCTATCTTCCTCTTGGATTACACCAAAACGCACCGTTTCAAATTGGGTCTCGTCGCCTTTATTGCAGCAGAAGATTAAGTACCCCAATTTGAAAGCTGGGGTTTTCACGGCGTTGGCTGTGGTGGAAGAGCGGGAGGGAGGCCTAGTCACTGACGACGGAGGAGTGGCGGAGTACGAGTACGACAGTCGAAACGACGACCATTCGGATGGGGGATTGGACGACAAGCAAGAGCAGTCAAGACCCTGTGAGCTGTATGTGTGCAATATTCCGAGAAGCATTGATGTTCCGGACCTGATGGAAATGTTCAACCCTCACGGAACTGTTTTCTCCGCCGAGATTTGCCGGAGCCCGGATACTGGGCTCAGCCGCGGATGCGGCTACGTCACCATGGGATCCATGGACGCTGCGAAAACCGCCATTGCTGCATTGGATCGATCTGTTAGTACAAAACTTATCCACCCTTTTAGTGCGTCACTATATTCTTAGTTTAACTGAATGTTAGTACCAAATTGGATGAGCTCCCCCGTGAGTCCGAGTTCAAATCCCCCATCCGTAGTTTGGATTAGTTTAAAGTAGAATATCGCTCATAATATAACTGAATGTTAAATTTGTTTTTGAAGGATGTTGGAGGGAGGGAAATGCGGGTGAGATTTTCGGTTCATATGAATCCGAAGAGGAAGAACACCGAGGCATTGAATTCATCACCGGTGAAAAACATGGTGTATGAGAGCCCTCACAAACTCTACGTCGGCAACCTTGCGCGGGCTGTCCAGCCTCATGTTTTGAGAAGCCATTTTAGCCAGTTTGGGACCGTAGCTAGCGCAAAAGTGTTGCACGACCGCAAGGCAGGGAAGAATCGCGCTTATGGGTTCCTCTCTTTCTCTTCGGCTGCAGAACGCGATGCAGCAATGTCGTTAAATGGAACGGTAAATACTTGAACTCCCACGTGAGATTTGGTCCTTCGATTTCCTGTTGCATATTTGTTCTCCTTGTGACTTAATCAATTGCACTGGCAGGAGTTCTGCGGTCGGAGAATAGTGGTTAGAGGACTTCCAGAAACGACTTACACTGCAGCGAAGACTTGATCAGTCACTCACATATATGCTTTGGTAATGGCTGCTAAGCATCATTCTTGGCAAATCTGATACGCAGCGCAAGCGGTCATCCATCCGAATGCCTGCCGGATTATAAAACTTTTACATTTGCATCGCAACTAGTCTTCGTAGTTTTGTGCAATACAAACATTGGCGGACAGCGGTGAGTTGTTTCATAGATTTGTGTATCGTGTATTTAGAGAGCAAGAGAAAGTGAAGAGACTAGTTGATGATACAGTAAGAATACTTGTTAACTTTTGCATATACATGCAGAGAAATTATGTTATTTCTACCAGAAAATTAATTTCTTTGCTGCACTAAACACTGGGACCACAATTAACGAGTAAATATCACGAAAATGAAGAGAAAACACTAGCTGTGAACCATAAGCACAATCCGGTTCTCCATGATCCTGGCAACTTCCCAATTGAAACAAAATTAAACCTGTAGCAACTAACTTCAGTTGCTTGGAGCAAGATGCATCCTTTGGAAGAGCACTTGTCACATTTGTGACTGGATTTCGTGAAACACAGAAAAAACTGGAGCAAGCAACTCGACCAAAATCTAACAGATCCCAGGAAGTAATAAAAACCAGGGAGACAAGTACCAAAAAGCATTTAGTAACCTCTTGTTTGGGTAAAATTGGCTATTGCTAAACAAAACGCCCAAGTCTGTAATGTCTTAGACTAGTACATGTTTTCCGTTGTAATTATTTTAGTCTAAGTTTGTCTCTTGTGCTCTCGATCACTAAAATAGCAAGCGTTTCAGAGACATCCATTCAGGTAAGTTTGTCATGCATATGCATCCATGTAGTTAGGATTAACTACAATATATTAGATCAATCAATTTGGCATGATTATTGTTACGGCGATATGTCTACAGAGAAAAGAGTATACTTGGGTTGATTTACATGATAGCTAGGATTTACTCAAGGCCTATGACTTTTTAAGTGTGAACAAAACCTTAGCATACACATCCGGATGAGTCACTTGATAATTTAGTTTTATGCGTTATTATCTCAACACCTTCAAATGTTTTTGTTTTTAATTTTATCTCATCTATTTAGAGTTTTAAGTCATTTTGAAGTCTCCTACTGCCGCTTATACACAGATGGGATTACATTAGGGTTTCGTTTTTGCTGTTGCCGCATGTTATTGATATACGGGTCTAGTTTAATAAGGAGTTGTGGATGCTGCCATTGCGTTTTCGTGAAAGTGAAAAGGATACTGTTGCTATATGAGAATAAGTTTTTTTAGTCTTGGATTGCTGCTGCACTTTCATTGTTTTAAGTCATATATATATATATATATGATAGTGTACAACAACTACATGCATTATATAGATCCATTACTTGCTGCATGTTTTAGAATACATATATATTCTTATATATTGCTGCATGCCCTGAAGGTATGTATTGTAGTTTGCATTTGATGCAGCACAATGCACTGAAAGCATCGTCATTCATATAACAGCAGAAAGTTTGTTTTCCATGTCGGTCAGCAGCCTAGGTTTATGGTAGAAAAATCAGTTTGTATTCACGTATTTTTTCTTTTGAAGAAAAATTTAGTTTTGTTCACTAATTTTTCATTGTGCTTTAATCGAAATCAATTATGAAAATGTGCCTTGTGATTTTCATAAGGGAACTTTAACAAAAAGCTTTCAGTATTGTTCACTTTAACAAAAAATCACATTTTTACACTAAAAAGTCAATCATGGTACTATTCATTTTACCCTTTCTTTTGTCCTTATCGTTAAAACTCAAAGTTTTCAAGCTCCTTTCATTGGTTGATTTCCAAAAATTATTTCATTTCATATATTCTGCATGATCGCATTAGTATCTTGCAAAGTTCAAGGAGACAGTCATTGAAGGTTGAGGAGAGATTGAGTTAGTGTCTTGCATAATCGCGTTAGTGTCATGCCACTTTCACTCAAAGGCTGAGGAGAGATCGTGTAACATCCCACATCACCCAGGGGAGTGGATCCTGTAAGCCTTATATGTATATTCTCATTTCTACCTAGCACGAGGCCTTTTGAGAGCTCACTAGCTTTGGGTTCCATCGGAACTTCAAAGTTAAGCGAGTTTGCGCGAGAGCAATCCCAAGATGGGTAACCCCCTGGGAAGTTGCTCATGAGTTCCCAGAAACAAAACCGTGAGGGCGTGGTTGGGGCTCAAAGAGGACAATATCGTGCTATGGCAGAGTCGAGCTCGGGATGTGGTGGGGGCTCGGGTCGGGATGTGACAATTTGGTATAAGAGCCAATCCCTGGCCAGAAGTATGCCAACGAGGACGTCGAGCTCCTAAGGGGGGTGGATTGTAACATCCCACATCGCCCAGGGGAGTGGATCCTGTAAGCCTTATATGTATATTCCCATCTCTACCTAGCACGAAGCATTTTGGGGGCTTATTGGCTTTGGGTTCCATTGAAACTCCGAAGTCAAGCGGGTTCGTGCAAGAGCAATTCTAGGATGGGTGACCCCCTGGAAAGTTGCTCGTGAGTTCCCAAAAACAAAACCGTGAGGGCGTGGTTGGGGCCCAAAGCGGACAATATCATGCTATGGCGGAGTCGAGCTCGGGATGTGGTAGGGGCTCGGGTCGGGATATGACAGATTGAGTAGCAAAGCACGGAGACAAAATTGCCTACTAGTATGCGTGTCTAGTTGGTGAGTTTTGTAAGTCCTTCTGTACTTATTTCTCTTAGTGTTTGTCCTGGCTTGGGAGCCCGAGGATTTTCCCAGTGGTGCATTTAGCCTTGTTAAATCCTACATTCTTGTTTACTTTTTATTGCATATGAGTATGATAGTTTGATTTGTGATGTGAATGTGGATTTAATTTGAGAATTGAAAATTGAATTGGTTTTTAAATTGGAACCTATTCACCCCCTCTAGGTTAAACTAGTACCATCCTAGAACTTTCACCTCTTTTAGGGTTCGCTTGTATCTTTTTGATCAAGTAATCCTCCAAACCAAACGCTGCCTTCATAATTCTAGTGTTTGGCCTAATTTCCACCTTCATTACCTTTCTCAGAATTTCCTCCATTCTCACCAACTCAATCTCTTCGCATATCCCAGGAACTACCGTAATCCAAGTATTTGTACGAGGAACTTCCCCGTGGTTTAGCACCTTCTCCAAAACTCCACAAGCTTCCTCAAACCTACCCACATTAAGAACCCTTTAACCAAAGCATGAATAACTGAGAAATACGGAGAAAACCCCTTTGATACCGTTGTCTCCATGTAACTGTTAGCCTCGTCAAGCATCCCATGATCGCATAACCTGCTAACCAAGGTTCGATAAGATACCAAATTTGGTAAGCACCCATTTGATGCCATGTCCTCGAGAACCTTACAAGCATCCCTCGAGCGCCCCTCTCTACATAACCCCCAATATAACAGTGTTATAGTGCACAATATCAGGATTGCAACCCTTAACCTTCATCCTACAAGGCAGCTTATACGCCTCACAAAGTTTCTTATTCCTACACAAACTATTCAACAATGTCATGTAACTCAGCGTATCCGACACGAACCCTTTGTTCAACGTGTCCTTGAAGAAATCGACCGCGATATTCACCTGCCTCTTCCTACATAAGCCTTGCATCAAAATTCGATAGGACTGCACATCCGGCACAAGGTCTCTTTCAAACATTTTGTTGAACAGTTGGTAGGCAATGCTGAAATCCCCGTTCAAACAAAACGCACATATCAATTTATTGTATGATTCTATATTGGTCGTCAGCCCATGACGATGAACGTCATTGAAGACATCGAATGTTGAACACCTGCGGGAGAAAGTTCTGGTGGGAAAAGAGAATCTGAAGAATGCGGTTCAGGTGTTTGATGGAAGGCTTACAATCGAATTCCACCATAGTATAGAACACTCGGAGGGCCTTCTGGGGTTGATTGGCTTCGTCGTAGATTTTGATCAGGTGGGAAAATAGGGCTAGGGAGACAGTGTAGTTTTGGATTTCGAGGCGGATTCGGAGGAGGAGATCGTCAACGAGGGAGAAGTACTTAGATCAGCCAAGCTTGAGGATGAGAGTGAAGTAGAAGGCATAAGAGTGGCGAAAATTGGGGTGGTAGGCGGCATAGTCGAAGATCTCTTTGGCGAAGGGAGGGTCGGATTGAGAGGTGATGAGCTTTTGGACTCTGGAATGAGAGCCGATATCCTGAAGGGGTTTGGTAGAGTGGGAGTAGGAGGAGGAGGAGGAGGACGGTGGGGTTTTTGGCAGGAGGGCGAGGGAGCGAGTGACTGTTTTTGTTGAACGCTGAAAGAGTAGATGCATTTTTGCCTCTTCAAAGTTCTTTCGTGTCTTTGTAATTCTCATACGAATCATTTTTTATGTATGTTTGGATGCTTCGAGCTTTTCGATGTTGTTGATAACATGGAGAGTATTAAGGTGCATTTGATTTCTCACTTAGAGTTTGTAACATATATGACGTGCTTTTTTCTTTTTTGCCGAGACTCATTGCATCAGTGTGTGCTTGGTTAGCTACTTGTTTATACGAGTGTTGGAAAAGCTTGAAATTTTGGGAGATAGGTATGTTTTGTTTTATTCTTCTTTTACTAAAGTCGGCATTCAGTAGACGAACAATCTCATCTTTGATGTCAAGTTGTACTTCGGTCAAGAATCAGCATGGAGGTTGGCGTAACGGCTTACAATTTTTTTTTTATATATTTTAAGTTCATGTTTAACCAAAGACTTATTTAGGATAGACATCTCGTGATAACTCCAAGCAAAACAATCTTTGAATTCAATACAAAGCTCATCTTTTATGGGCTAAGGTAACAAGGAGCTAATAAAAAGAGGTTGTGGATCATCGGTCGTGCCTACATTTATTTCTTCTAATAAGGCTTGGACTTGAGGCTGATTAAGCTCAAGTTCGGCCAACGCTGCTTTCAAATTTTCGAAAGAAAGAGTAACACCATTATCTATTTCAGTGAGGAACTCGATCAAGTTGATTCCAGAATGAGCGTCTTGAGAAATTGTGTACCAACGGGCCAACAAACGTTTCATTATAGATGAAATTGCGATCTTTCACTCATCGTCATCAGTGTGGCTATTCATTGGAGAAATCAATGAGATCAGCCAGACCAAGCTGCACTGAATCCTGTTGAATGGTTTCAACACCTACATTGATGACTTTCTGAATAAAGATTTTGGTTGGCCGGTCACCTTCATTTACACCTTGAAGCGTGATGGAGCCAGCTTGATCATCGTATAAGGAGCTTGGGTCATATTGGTCTCGACTGGCTGACTGTCTGCCGGGTGAACCACAACCGACTTT